TTTTCATTGACCCTCCACTTTGCCAAGCATGATATCCTTCTCCAAGGAATGGTCCCTTCTGACAACATGACCAAAGCAGGTCAGATGAAGTCTGGCCATTCTCATTTCCAAGGAGCATGCTGGCTGCACTTCCCGCAGCAAAGATTAGTTAGTTCTTTGAGGAGTCCATGGTACTTTCAGTATTCTTCACCAACACCACAACTCAAAAGCATCAACTCTTCTTTGACCTTCCTTATTCATTGTCCCACTCTCACACGTATATGAGATGATTGAAAATACTGTTGCTTGGGTTAGGTGCACCTTAGTCTTCAAGGAGACATCTTTACTCTTCAGCACTTGAAAGAGGTCTTTTGCAGCAGATTTGCCTGGTGCAATATGTTTTCTGATGTCTTTACTGCTGCTTCTGTTGGTATTGATTGTAGAACCAAGTAATATGAAGGCCTTGACAACTTCAATATTTTATCCATTTATCATGAACCTTCTTATTGGTCCAGTTAGGAGGATTTTCGCTTTCTTTATATGGAGGTATGATCCATATGGCAGACTGCATTCTTCAATCTTCATCAGTACGTGCTTCAACTCATCTTCACTTTCAGCAAGCAAAGTTGTGTCATCAGTGTATCACAGGTTGTTAATGATTCTTCCTCCAATCCGTATGGCACATTCTTCTTCATGTAGTCCAACTTCTCAGATTATTTGCTCAACATACAGAATGAATAAGTATGGTGAAATGATAGAACCCTGATGTACTCTATTCCTGATTTTAAACCATGCAGTATGCTATTCTTCTGTTTGAATGACACCCTTCTCGTCTATGTACAGGTTCTTCATGAGCACAATTAAGTGTTCAAGAATTCCCATTCTTCTCAATGTTATTAAAAATTTGTTATGATCCACACAATCGAATGCACTTGCATAGTCAATAAAACACAAATAAACATCATTCTGATATTCTTTGCTCTCAGCAAAGATCCATCTGACATCACCAGTGATAATCCTCATTCCACGTCATCTTCTGAATCCAGCTTGCATTTCTTGAAGTTCTCTGTCAATATACTGCTGCACAATAATATATTGCACCAGAGCATGAATGCAAGGTGTCATTGGAGAGTCTTGGATGATAGCTCACACAGACGTTGTCCTTTGTCAGTATGTTAGCATCACAATAATGGAAAAAAATTGAAGTTGTTAAAGATTTCATATTACTTGGTTCCACAATCAATACCAATGGAAGCAGCAGTCAAGAAATTGGATGATGTTTTGCACTGGGAAAATCTGCTGCAAAAGACTGCTGTTAAGTGTTGAAGAG